TTCTTAGAAATTTATTTTGTATGGCTTCAGATGCAATCAGTGGAACATTTAGTAGATGCCTCTGACCTCAAACATTGAACCAGGTGGAGATGCAGTTGAAATCGTCCCATCGATGAAAGAATTAAGTTCCCCAATGAATTTTTATTCTGATATTTAACAAGATGGTTGTAATGTGATTTAGATCGACTTTTTAAAAATCGAATTATTCCGCTAGGCTTACACAAATTGCTCCGTGCCGGCTTGGGACGCTGCTGTTTCTTGCGCAAACAAACGTTGTAGTTATAAGAAATGGGCAAAATTATTGAGGGCCCAAGGATATAGGAAATATAAATGAGAGAAAAAGGATGAAGAGAGATAGAGAGATGGGGAGGAGAGAGAGAGAGAGAGAGAGAGAGATGGGGAGAGAGAGAGAGAGAGAGAGAGAGAGGAGTTTAAAATTAGAGGAACGAATAGAAAGATGAATAGAGAAAGACAGAGGCAACATAAAAGCTGGTATCTGACGGGTTTCGGAATGGATCGGGGGAGTGTGCATGCGGTATACCAATTACCCCCTCCCCTTTCTCCCACCCTCACACACACACAAAAATGGACTTTAGAAGAAAAACATTGGTAAACGACACCAACAAAAACATGTATGGATTTTGAAATGTGCTGTTCAGCGAATTTCACCAATTTGCCATCATTTTGTTTGTATCGACAGGTCCAACGGGGGCAGTATTCAAAGAACCAAATAACTGCATCCCTAGAAAATCAGTATTGCTTCATGTCAATGTCAATGTCCATGCTACGCCCCTAATTAAGTTATGTTTACCTACGTATGACCCTCTCAAACAAACAATAAAATCTTCCTTATTCCAAAAATTATTCCTAACAAACACATATATCTTGTTTACTCTTAATACTGTTTAGTTTAAATTGGTTACAAACATCGAACTTCCTTCAATTTATTGCGTGTACCGTAGCAATTTTGCGAGTTAAATTCATCAAGATCTATACACTGTACTTCAAAATTGAATTGGTGATATCGCCAGAGAATTCGATCTATTTAAAAGGGATCGTTGTACTTTCTCCATCGAAGCCCCAGAGATATAAAACACACTTCATATTACTGTACTTCGCTGGACTACGTAAAACCTATAGGGACATGACGTGATACAACTTGATATTTATGGAACAAATATAGATTAATTCATGTTTTCCCTATAATAACATTAGATATTGAGAAAGCAGGCTCTCTCCTAAAGTGGAAGTCCACCTTTCTATAGATGGTTTTAAAGTATGAAATTAAGAGAAAAAGATCAGTGAAAAGTTTGAGCAAAATCTGAGTAGAAATAAGAATTATGGTTTTTAAGTTGCAATCCATCTAACAAAAATATCTTTGACTTATTTTAAAGGGTCCCCTTCCATTTACTTTGTACACAAAATAATTTGTTTTAATTTCTCTAAAGAATATTTGTTATAATAAAGCACCAAATCTCTGCAAATTTATTTATACAGACCCCTTTGTAAAACAATGATTTTTTTCTTCATTAATAGCCAAGTGCATAAATATACAACTGCGAATATAGTATGCCCGGGCTACGGGGTGACTAAATATGTTCAAAATGTCAATATGAAGCATTATGGCATTTTCAGTTTTAACTACAAGTCAATGAATCTATTTGGTTAGAATTAATGAGGTACACACACAAATAATTGTTTTAGTTCGGATTATGGTTTTCTAAAATACTGCTAAAGGTACATTCAACTATAATCATACTCTGAAAAGGAATGAGAGGGCGACAAACAGAGTCGCTCTCAGTCTGTATCAAGTCATTTGATTTGTCTTCACAACTTGAGGCTATGATGATATTTAGATCTCAACTAAAATACAGAAGTATACATTAATCTGAGCATGTTTGTCCCCTATATACACAGACAGTAGGAGTCATTGCCATATATATAGAGTAGTAATCGAGGGTCCTTTAAAGTTTAAAGTGTACTTACAATTATTGGAACATGGTGAACTTCAGCAATTAGATAATTATCTGACACTACACGAACGTAACAATTAGAACTTTCAGATGAAAATAGGACCAGCATGACTTTTAAACCATGGAGAATCCTTTTACTAATACTATTCAAGAAAATTGAGGTTACTAGTACAGACTAAATGAAATTAATATTTAGTTTCTCGTTCCCAGTCTTTTCCACTCTTTTTATGCCAGTCTAAAATGTATTTTTATTTGAAAGTTTTGTTTTGAAATTAAATCAATGATTAAACCATGAACACAATGGTCAATGAAAAGGTCAATGCAATGTCATCTTGATTTCAGTCTCTGTGGTGCATGTACTAATTAAATCTGAATACACAAAATTTCTGTCGAAATTGACCGGACGGCATTTCTGTAGAGATCTGTTACATCAAACAATATGGAATACCTTCCTTATCATTTACGAAAAACCCAGACGAGAAACTATAAATCAATCTTACTTGTTTGGCTTTATCTGGAAATGTGGATGGATTAGGGATTTTTGCTAACTCTGCAACCCATGTAACACAACAGGAAATAACAACAGGCATCTTCAGATTCATAAGATATTTGCGGAAGTTTCGACGGAAATTCTGAGCGACTTTCGGTTTCGTGTAATAGATCGAATGTTGAGGTTATATTTCTTTTCTACCCATGTATGTATCCTCTTTCGAGGGACATTATTTGTTCACATCATATAATAACAGCTATTTACAACAATATTTATATACAGAATTTTTGCAATTCGTAGTAATTGAAGTTATATTTGGTTTCGTTCAAAACTGTTTGTCACCATAATTATTGCTTTAAATAACATTACGTTTATTAAACACTTTTCTATCCTATCAATTGATCTAGTGGAGTGCTTCAGTCAGTTGCTCACCGATGGTCCTACTCCAAAATTGCGGAATTATAAAATTGTCATTGTTCCAGCCTTGATTTAATAAGGGCAGAATTTACATCTTCTATAGTTCTTTCCTATTGAGACACAGGCTGCTAAAAATGGCATTTGATACCCGGCGAGGACTTCTACCGTTAGTCTTAACTTGTTTTCTTCTCTCCTCCTCCACCCCTATTTTAGCTGGAGATGCAACGGGGGCTGCTTCGGGGGGCTCTTATCATGGTTATAAGAGATGTTACGAGGACCCTCAGTCGAAGACAGCTCATTGCCAGAATAGAGGACTTGATTTAGTCCCAAAAAATCTTAATGAAGATATCGAGTATCTCGACATGTCGTTCAATAATCTCACTTATCTTTCAAACACTTCTTTTGCAAGATACCCTCTCATTACTAACTTGAATCTTGCACATAACGGCATAAGAACCATTGACTCCACCGCTTTTTACCCTCTCAGCTTTTTAAGTATTTTATCGTTAAATTTCAACGTCAATATTGTGCTTCCGGATACGGGCCTTTTCCGATTAGCACGAAATTTGACTTTGGTGCATTTATCAAACACACATTTGAAATGGCTTCCTAGCGACACCCTGAAATGGACAACACGATTAGAGGATATCGTCTGTAACAACAATGAACTCTCGATTATAAACATAAGCGCGTGTGGCACGATCAAAAATGCTGAATTCTCTCGAAATCAAATAGAAGGCCTCACTGTAGAAGCTTTCAACTTTGTGTGCCACACTACGACCCTGGTCCTAGAAAGAAACCCCATCAAATCGGTCGATCCTAAAGTGATTGCATCACTGCATGTGCGACAATTGCGGCTGGGAAACTACCCCTTGGACTTAGAGGTGGTTAGAAACGTATTCATCGGTGTTGCCCATTCTGAAATAGAAGAACTTTCGGTTACGAATGCTCACTTGAAGGCATTCCCCAAAGACTTCTTTGACCCGCTGATGGATTCATCTCTTTCTGTGCTCGACCTCTCCGACAACCACGTCAAAACGCTCTATCACCTCGTCTTTTCGAATCTGACCAAACTAGATCAACTTACCGTTTCCAATAGTCGTATAGATTCAATCGAACCAAACTTCTTTGACGGCATGGGAGAGATTAAAGTACTGAATTTCAACCACAACCACATACGTCATATAAACCCCCGGAATCAGACATGGAACATAGGTGTTCTGGAATTACACTTGTCTACGAATCGTTTGACAGTGATTTATCAATCTGCGTTTCTCGGTTTGGAAAATCTAACCTTTATAGATTTGGGATTTAACAACCTCCTTGTGTTTGAACTAACAGACTCTACAGACCTTCGTAGAATCCAAACCATCGATTTATCGTTATGTAGAATTTCCCGTTTGCAATTGGAATCATTAACACTAAAGTCACTGAACTTGGGACACACCAGGATCCCTCTAAAACCAAGCGAATCTTTCAAACATTTACCATTCCTTGAACATCTGGACTTGAGCAGCACGGGTCTTGGGAAGTTGAATGTATGGGATGCGACTGTGAATATCTCTCTTTTTGACGAACTGTTCAATCTAACGACTTTGGACCTGCGTAATAATCATCTTCTTGGCCGTGAAGGTGCCTTCACAGCTGGGGTCTTCCGGCAACTCTCTGCTTTACAAGAACTCAATTTACACGGTTGCGATGTGGCAACCGTCAATCCTAATGTCTTTAAGGGTTTGGGATCGCTACAGAAGTTAAATTTAGCAGGAAACAGGATCAAACGACTTCCTTATAGCGCCTTTAATGGACTGGAGCAAGTAACAATCATAAATCTTGATACTAACAATGTAGCATACCTTGAAGACAGAATATTTTTGAACAATCCTAAGTTGACAAGTATTTCGTTAGCAAGCAATAACTTGACTCATCTCAAACTAAGCACTTTTCAACCGATCATCTCATCTCTCTCATCTCTCGATCTTTCAATGAACCCAATTGTCTGTAACTGTGATCTTAAGTGGCTCCCCAGTTTCCTCCATCGACAATTAATTCTCACCAATGCAAATGAAACAATCTGTTCCGAATCATCTTTAGATCCCCTTCGCGCGAAACCTCTTCTTCAGTTTGATCCCGATGAACTCTGTAAGCGCAGTATTGTCCTCTTCTACTCGCTTCCCCTCGCTACCATTTGCTTGATTGTTATCATCGTACTCGTGCACCACTATCGCTGGAAAGTGAAGTATAAGATCTTTCTGCTGAAACTTGCGGCTCTTGGGTACAAGGAGTTACGAGACGCCCGAGACCATGTTGACTTTGAGTTTGACTTGAATATCATCTTCTACGACGATGACGAAGAATGGATTCGGGAGCATCTTCGACCAGCTCTTAAAGCTCAGCTGCCGCAGTTTCGGAGGAACGTCTTTGGTGACGAAGACCTCGTTGTAGGAATGCATTACTTGGACTCCGTTGACTACGTTGTTAGCCATAGTTACAAGACCATCATTCTACTCAGCCGAGCCGCTGTGCATGATCGCTGGTTCATGCTCAAGCTTCGCACCGCGATGGACCATGTTAGTGATACCCAGACCGAATTTGTAGTCGTGGTCTTTCTCGAAGACATCCCAGACGAGGAGATACCATTCTTAGCCAGGTTGTACCTCAGTGATGGTAGACCATATCTCTACTGGACTGGTGACGTAAGAGGACACGAGTATTTCTGGTATGAACTGACCAAATATCTGACCATAAATCTAAGAACGAATGACTGGATTCCAAACGAATAGAAAATTACATTAATTGATTAACGACTGATCAAAATGCATTGGTTCTCGTATAGCGCTCATGTCTATCGGACTTGACACTCCTGGCGCTCCACATTATTACCCCACTAGATGTGTCGTGATCTAAAGGATACGTCACCGGACTGTGGATCACATGGTTCGCGGTTCGAGTCCCCCCGCGACACTAATATCATTTAGTGAGACATCTATCTAAATGCATCATACTCTACCCATGTGTAGTAAATGGGTACCTCGTAGGAATTACTTATACATTGAATATTTTGAGCGCCTCAGGGCAGCTGGGCTTAATTAAGCCAATGTAATGATACAATTTGGTGGGCACCTTGAACATGTTGGGCACTCCTGGGAATGATATGTGCACAAAAATGTATATATTTGGTATTATTGTCATTATTTAGCCTAGATGTTTAGTTTTCATGATAGTCAAACAAAATTCAGAGTCATACTGGTGGACCAAAAGCTTGATCCAACTCAATGAAAATGTTCGTAAAAATGAAATTGGTCCGCCATACTATCATGACAGTTTTGTGTATTTTGTTTTTATTTGTTCATCCGTTATGTCGAATCGTTGACATGTATCATGTGTATGCCTCGATGACGTCAGACTGCAATCTTTAGTCCATCGCTGTAAGAAATAATGAACTGGTGAACAATTAATATTGTAAAGATAGAAGGTGACATCATACGGAGTACGCTGTGGAGGTCCTGGGAAATCCAGTTCCATTAGTTGTCCTGTATGATGTTTTTTCCTGAAACCTTTCAGTTCCATATATTTGCGATGTACAATATTATTGTTACCAGTTTATTTAACGTCTTTTTTGAGAAGCCATCCTGTGCCAAGTTGGTACTTGTTTTTTGTAACTGTAAATAAAAAAAAGGTTAAAATTAAACAGTTGAAGTCTACATTTAGTAGACATTGAATAATACATAATTTGTGACAAAATAGATTTGTCTGGGTATTATAATGTAAGTTGGAAATTAATCAGATGAGATAATTAGACACCGCTGGTTATTGCTAAGACTGGGGATTTTGAGATTATTATGATACATAAGGTTTATGAGAAAAGGTGTTAATTTCATGTATATAATAAGGCATGTTTATTATTACTTCCAGTGAGATGTTTGGTTTTCATGATGAAGGTGTTGAAGGAGGGGTGATTGTTCGGTTGAAATTGTTCTCATGAAGATTTGAGGAAAGAATGGAATTAAGGAATATATGCATGTAGGTTGTTTGTAATATATGCTTAACAGGTTGTTAGCATTGTGTACCATATGATTGTGTTATGTTATTAATTATTAGAATTACCAGTTGACTTTGGGATGTCATTGTGTTGTCCTTGTAGCGGTTACACCCTTCCATGTTTGGGAGCAGTTTAAATCGAGGGATGATGTTTATACCTGCCTTTGATTTGAAGGTTTAGGGATACCAGCTCCAAAGAAGAGGAAGGGCATAACGTCGTCCTGACATTATATTCTGTTGGCTGGGTTATATTTGCAAGGTGGGCAAGACATATGCATTTGCAAGTCTTCCTGGTCAATTGGTTGGAAGAAAGATACGTTAATTAGATTAATAAATGTTGTTGTTGTTGTTGTACAAAGAGAATGTTAATTGTAATTATTTTATTAGAGCTTCGGCTGAGTTTATAAAAAATAATAAAATGGACTTCAACTGTATATCTGAGCTCCTGTCGTTTTCATTTTGTTTCTGACCCCATAGTCACCGACCCATTATGGGCCCATTACAGTAATATAAATGTTTTTATTAGTGTTCTAATTAGTAATAGTATGATACGTTTATAATCTGCATGTTCGAAAATGTTTCTAATCCTAATTAGTTCACACATGACATGATACATATGGATTTCTGAGCAATTCTTTTATGTTTAGTGTTCTTGAAAAGATATGGCACAAGTTATGGATCTATATGTATATTCTTTATCTGTACAACTACAGTGCTATAGACTTGTCTTCTATTGAACCATTGAACTGAAGTTCTTAAACAAAATCATGAACAGACTGCTTGTGTAGATTAGGATGAAGAAAAGAAAACAAAGTTGGAATGTCTGTTTTGTTTTTCCCCCTTCATCAGATAGGGTTCTTTATTTTCAAAACAAATTCCATCATATGCGGTAAATCCTTAAGTTATATTCAATTAATCAAAGAAGTGATTTCCACACATAATGGCTAAAAAAAGATATTAATCATCACGACCGAAAAATGTATGGCAAAAAAAAAAATGCCAAAATTAGTATTTTAAATATATACAAAAGGTGTCTTGAAATGTCTTGGTAAATTCAAAGTAAGGCCGTTTAGGTGTCGTATCTATTCATGCATCCCCACAATAAAAGAAAAATAATACGAGGATTTTTTTTCTTCTTCAAAGTCAATTGGTTTACAATTATGCACATTAAAATTCCAATGTTGTTGTTGTTAGTTTCCATATTTTATTTTAATTCCCAATATATGAAAGAGAAATCCCCGCAAATAACTACATAAGAAATATTCAGAGGATTTGTAATTTATACGAGTCGATTTCCGACGAGTCCTACAACCCCTGATCCAACAGGAAACGAGTAACAACATGTCTTTTTTTTTTTTTTTTTTTTGGGGGGGGGGGGGGGGGGTTTAATCCAGTCCGAGAACAAAGAAAAACAACATTCTCTATCACGTAGGACTTCTAGTCACTCTTCCGATGGTTCACTGGATCCTATGCCCACGAGACCGACAGACTGACAGTCCACGAGATCAGTATTTGTGTTTCCGGCCATCTTTCCCCATGTATTCCGACCTTTGGTGTGATCCTTCCCAACAAAAAAATGTCATGTTAACATGTTTGTTACTACTTACATGTATTTTGATTACATTCGGTTAATCAAATCATGTGGTCTTAGATTCCTCATTCATTGATTCAGCGAGTAATTGGCCATGCAAAGAAAAACAAACTACAACTGTTCACGTCTTGTTTTGTATTTATTAAACTTAATTGATGTACATCAATAATCTGTTTATGAACATATAAATCATATAAATCAATTTATAATGCAATGTAACAAACCAATATTCTGTTTGTAAACATATATATATCATATAAATCAATTTACTATGTAGTGTAGCAAAACGGAAGAAAGGTTATATACAGCAGAATAAATCTTTTTTTTTGTAATAACATGACACATTACGTATAAAGGAAATAATGTTATGTACCATGATACATCCAAAGATTCAGATATATAAAACCTAATATAGGAATTTTCTAAATAAATCATAACTCATGCTATACAAAACAGGCGAATGAGGTACATGAAATGCAATAGGTAATCGTTTCGCCTAAAATAAATGACGTAATAAGCCTAGTACCCTTACATATATGCGACATACTGTAAAATTAAACCAAAAACATAAGTTTCCCTTTGTCTATAAAGGTGGGGTTATTGTGGTTTAATACATTAAGTCAAATACATGAAAGAAATATACGGAGAATAAAAGGGTTGTATACTTAACTTATATCGAATCGTATAAGTTTTTTGTTGTATTACTGTGTTGCTACATAGTAACTAAAAGTTATCCCTCACTGCATTTATTTTTTTGGTGAACGAAAATAAAATATCTATTATATCCTTATTGTCTATGTCAATAATTTGTTTTGATAACTTTCATTTTGATAAAACTATGACAAACGGCAATATGTTTACATCTCGTTTTTCCGCCTTTTTTAAAGATCAGAAACGGAACAAGAAACGGAGCCCTGCAGCACAACCATGCCTCTTAAAGGTAATACAAATTTTTGGTAAGGGGTCATGAATTCGGTTCAAATGAACATATTGGAAGCATACGCGATCCTACAATATTCAGTGATCGTTGTCGCGGTTGAAATCGAGTCTAAAGTAATGACATTGTAAACAATAAACTCTTTATGTTATATAGCTCCCTCCCAAGGTCAAGATATTAATTAAGCTATGAAACAATGTTTCATGACTAGAATCGACCAATTAGCTATTGCCGTTTGGAAACTATATATCACAATTACATATTCTGAGATGTTAATGGTCGCAGCTATACTTACAGCGGACACCCTTTTTTTTGTTGGTCTCCAAATTTGAAAATTTGACATTTTTTCGTTGGGGGGGGGGGGGGTAAGGTCACTTTACGTTAGCCGTGGGCATAATTATTTTTTTTTTAAATTAAAAAAAAACAAAGGGGGGGGGGGTAGTTTTTTTAGGGGGGTTTACACACATAAAAATACCAAAGGGGGGGGGGGTTTGAACCCCCAACCCCCCCCCCCCTGCGTACGCCCCTGTACACATCATAATGTTATTGCTTTGTCCATAATCATTGCCTTCCAAACAATCTAAACAGTGCTGTAACAAAAAGACATCTCGAGTGGATAGTTCTATTCCCTGAGAGAGAGAGAGAGAGAGAGAGAGAGAGGGGGGGGGGGGGGGAGAGAGAGAGTGTGTGTGCGCGTGTGTGTTATCGTAATTTCATGTTTTCTTCCTTCGTCTTTTCCTAGAGGGAGTTGAGAAAGGCTTTCTAATCTGATATTTTGTCACTGAGTCTATTTACTACACCTTTATACTGCTATCCGAACGTTGTGCGTTGTTTCTTCACTTTGATGATGTGATGTCTTCGAACGAAACTGTGACTAGAACTTATCACAAACGGCGTGAATCCACAAAACTGCGGTAAAATGACGATTTTTGGTTTCTTCACCGCATATTCTCAGCTGCAGTTTAACGCAGAAAAAGAAAAAAAAATGCAATAAATATAATATTCTGCTACTATTCAAAACGTGTGCAAGTTATCTAAGACGAGGTAATTCGAACACTAATTTTTGAAACACCATCGGGTTTTTCCCCTGTTTTTGTTTTGTTCTTATTCAAGTTATCTGTCATTTACGTACATTAATTTCCGTAATATTTATAGTGTTATTATGCTATTATTTCTGAAGTTAACATGGTTTCAGAACAATCGCACATGCACGGGCTAGTTAAAATTGTATAAACAGTTTAAATCTCAAATTCGATTTTTCGAATATTTCAAACGACTTTTACAGAGTATTGATCAAATAGTAATCCATGGGGCTGGCTTAGAAAACGCAAATGTAATTTGACACCCCAACTTTCTTAGAAATTCATTTTGTATGGCTTCATATGCAATCAGTGGAACATTTAGTAGATGCCTCTGACCTCAAACATTGAACCAGGTGGAGATGCAGTTGAAATCGTCCCATCGATGAAAGAATTAAGTTCCCCAATGAACTTTTATTCTGATATTTAACAAGATGGTTGTAATGTGATTTAGATCGACTTTTTAAAAATCGAATTATTCCGCTAGGCTTACACAAATTGCTCCGTGCCGGCTTGGGACGCTGCTGTTTCTTGCGCAAACAAACGTTGTAGTTATAAGAAATGGGCAAAATTATTGAGGGCCCAAGGATATAGGAAATATAAATGAGAGAAAAAGGATGAAGAGAGATAGAGAGATGGGGAGAGAGAGAGAGAGAGAGAGAATGGGAGGGAGAGATTAAAATTAGAGGAACGAATAGAAAGAGGAATAGAGAAAGACAGAGGCAACATAAAAGCTGGTATCGGACGGGTTTCGGAATGGATCGGGGGAGTGTGCATGCGATAGAACACTTACCCCCCCCCCCCCTTCCTCCTACCCTCACACACACAAACATGGACTTTAGAAGAAAATCATTGGTAAACGACACCAACAAAAACATATATGGATTTTGAGATGTGTTGCTCAGCGAATGTGATTCCCACCAAATAACTGCATCCCAAGAAAATCAGTATTGCTTCATGTCAATGTCAATGTCCATGCTACGCCCCTAATTAAGTTATGTTTACCTACCTACGCATGACCCTCTCAAACAAACAAATATTCCATATTCCAAAAATTATTCCTAACAACCACATACATTTTGTTTACTCTTACTGTTTAGTTTAAATTGATTACAAACATCGAACTTCCTTCAATTTATTGCGTGTACCGTAGCAATTTTGCGAGTTAATTTCGTCAAGATCTATACACTGTACTTCAAAATGAAATTGGTGATATCGCCAGAGAATTCGATCTATTTAAAAGGGATCGTTGTACTTTCTCCATCGAAGCCCCAGAGATATATAACACACTTCATATTATTGGACTACGTAAAACCAAGGGACATGACGTGATACAACTTCATATTTATGGGACAAAATATAGGTTAATCCATGTTTTCCCTATGATAACATTATATATTGAGAAAGCAGGCTCTCTCCTAAAGTGGAGGTCCACATTTCTATAGATGGTTTAAAAGTATGAAATAAAGAGAAAAAGATCAGTGACAAGTTTGAGCAAAATCTGAGTAGAAATTAGAGTTATGTTTTTTAGGTTGCAATCCATCTAACAAAAATACCTTTGGCGTATCTTGAAGAGTCCCCTTCCATTTACTATGTACACAAAATAAAACAATTTTGTTATTTCTCTAAAGAATATTTTTAATCATAATGCATCAAAACTATGCAAATCTATTTATACATACCCCTTTGTGAAACTATTATTTTTCCTTCATTAATAGCCAAGTCAATAAATATACAACTGTGAATATAAAATGCCTACGGGTGACGAAATCTTGTCAAGATGTCAGTATAAAGTATTATGGCATGTCCAGTCTGAAATACAAGTCAATAAATCTATTTGGTTGGAATAAATGAGGTGCACAAAAAAATACAGTTTTAGTTCGGATTATTGTTTTCTCAAGCCATTTCTTAAATACTATCTGCGCATGGGCAGAGAAAGGTCATTTCTGATAAAATTGTAAAACCCACCGAGATGAATACGTGCTCATGTTATGTAATCATTAGGGACTTTTAGATTCGCACAAAGACAATAGGTCTATGCTACGATCGACGTCCTTTAAATGCACTGCCTTGAATGGACGTCACACGTATCAGTCCGCGCAAATCTAAAAGTCCCTAATATTCATGTGTGCACCTAAGGTTCATTCTATGATACAAGAGGGCAAACAAAAGCTTTTCATGAAGCACGTACATGACTTTGGCATTGATTATTCTAAAATACACAAAGTGGGACTTCTCTATATTGAGTAAAAGATCTGTGGATATTTGGGGCCATTTGACCCATGTACTAACTACGAAATGTTCTATACTGCTAAAGATACATGCAACTATAATAATGCTTTGCAAAGGAATGAGAGGGCGACAAACAGATTCGCTCTCAGTCTGTATCAAGTCATTAGATTCTTCTTCACAACTTGAGGCTATGATGATATTTAGATCTCAACTAAAATATAGAAGTATACATTAATTTGAGCATGTTTGTCCCCTATATACACAGACAGTAGGAGTCATTGCCATATAGAGTAGTAATCGAGGGTCCTTTAAAGTGTACTTACAATTATTGGAACATGGTGAACTTCAGCAAGATTATAAAATTCTCTGACACTACACGAACGTAACAATTAGAACTTTCAGATGGAAATAGGACCAGCATGACTTTTAAACCATGGAGAATCCTTTTACTAATACTATTCAAGAAAATTGAGGTTACTAGTACAGACCTAATGAAAATAAACTTTAGTTTCTCGTCCCCCCCTCCCCCATCCTTTTTATGCCAGCCTAAATGGTATTGTTATTTGATAGTTTTGTTTTGAAATTAAATCAATAAAATTCTGAGGCGGGACACGGAGATAAGGGGGTCAACACAAATCATGAATACAATAGTCAATGCAATAGGTCACCTTGTTTTAAGCCTTTGTGGTGCATGTACTAATTAAATCTGAATACACAAAATTTCTGTTGAAATTGACCGGACGGCATTTCTGTAGAGATCTGTTACATCAAACAATATGTAACATCTTTCTTCTCATTTTTGAAAAAACCCGGACGAGAAACTATGAATTAATCTTAAATGTTTGGCTTTATCTGAAAATTCGGATGAAGTAGGGATTTTTGCTAGCTCTACAATCCGTGTTACACACAGCAGGAAATACAAAAGGGCGTCTTCAGATTCATAAGATATTTGCGGAAGTTTCGACGGAAATTCTGAGCGACTTTCGGTTTCGTGTAATAGATCGAATGTTGAGGTTATATTTCTTTTCTACCCATGTATTTATCCTCTTTCGAGGGACGTTATTTGTTCACATCATATAATAACAGCTATTTACAATAATATTTATATACAGAATTTATGCAATTCATTGTAATTGAGGTTATATTTATTGCTCTTTTGGTTTCGTTCAAAACTGTTTGTCACCATGATTATGGCTTTAAATAACATTACGTTTATTTAACAATTTTCTAGCCTATCAATTGAGCTAGTGGAGTGTTTCAGTCAGTTGCTCGCCGAGGGTCCTACTCCAAAATGCGAGTCATTGCAATTCATTATAATTGAGGTTATATTAATTGCTCTTTTGGTTTCGTTATAAATTGTTTGTTACCATATTGCTTTAAATAACATTTTGTTTATTCCACGCTTTTCTAGCATATCAATAGAGCTAGTGGAGTGCTTCAGTCAGTTGCTTGCTAAAGGTCCTACTCCAGCATACAGAAAAGTTAAACTCTCATTGTTTCAGCCTTGATTTAATAAGTGCAGAATATACATTTTCTATAGTTTTTCCTATTGAGACACGGGCTGGTAAGAATGGCATTTGATACCCGGCGAGGTCTTCTACCATTGGTCTTAAGTTGTTATCTTCTCTCCTTCTCCATCCCTATTTTAGCTGGAGATGCAACGGGGACTGCTTCTGTGAGCTCTTATCATGATTATTGGGAATGTGACGGTGATCCTCTGCTGAAGACAGCTCAGTGCCAGAAAAGAGGATTTGTTCTGGTCCCCCAAAATCTTCATGAGGATATCGAGTATCTCGATATGTCGTTCAATAATCTCACTTATCTTTCAAGCACTTCTTTTGCAAGATACCCTCTAATTACATACTTGAATCTTGCACATAACGACATAAGAGCCATTGACTCCACTGCGTTTTACCCCTTCATCAATTTAAGTTATTTATTGTTAAATTTCAACGTCCATATTGTGCTTCCAGATACGGGCCTCTTCCGATTAGCACGAAATCTGAATTTGAATTTATCAAACACACATTTGAAACGGCTTCCTAGCGACGCCCTGCAATGGACAACACGTTTTGGGGGAAAAGACCCGGTTCCGTATTCTATCGAATTGTCCAACAATGAACTCTCGTTTATAAACATCAGCGTGTGTGGCACGATCAGATATGCCTCCTTCGATCGAAATCAAATAGAAGACCTCACTGTAGAAAGTTTTAACTTTGTGTGCCACGCTACGGCCCTGTTTCTAGCAGGAAACCCCATCAAATCGGTCGATCCTAAAGTGATTGCATCACTGCATGTGCGACGATTGCATCTGGGAGACTACCCCTTGAACTCAGAGGTGATGAGAAACGTATTCATCGGCGTTGCCCATTCTGAAATAGAATATCTTTCAGTTGAGAATGCTTCTTTGAATGCATTGCCAAAAGATTTCTTTGACCCGCTGCTGGATAAATATTTGTCTGTGCTCGACCTGACCGACAACTACGTCTATCCCATCGTCTTTTCGAATCTGACCAAAATAGATGAACTTATCTTGTACGGTAATCGTATAGATATAATCGAACCAAACTTATTTGACGGCATGGAGAAGATTAAAGTACTGTATTTCAACAACAACCGCATACGTCATATCAACCCCCGGAATCACACATGGAACATAGGTGTTCTGGAATTACACTTGCAAATTAATCTTTTGACAGTGATTTCTCAATCTGCGTTTCTCGGTTTAGAAAATCTAACCTTCATAGATTTAAGTTATAACAAGCTCCTTGTGTTTGAACAAACGGCCTTTACAGACCTTCGTAGAATTCAAACCATCCATGTACGGTATTGTAGTATTTTCCGTTGGCAATTGGAATCATCAACACTAAGGTCACTGACCTTGAAAAACACCAGGATCCATTTAAAACCAAGCGAATCTTTTAAACAGTCACTATTCCTGGAGCATCTTGATTTGAGCAGCACGGATCTTGGGACGTTGAATGTATGGGATGCGACTATGAATATCTCTCTTTTTGACGGACTCTTCAACCTAACGACTTTGGACCTGAGTAGAAACCATCTTCTTGGCCGTGAAGGTGCCTTGACAACTGGGGTTTTCCGGCAACTCTCTGCTTTACAACAGCTCTATTTACACGATTGCGATGTGACAACCTTGAATCCAAATGTCTTTAAAGGACTGGGGCAAGTAACAATCATCAATCTTGACGATAACAATTTAGCATACCTCGAAGACAGCATATTTTTGAACAATCCTAAGTTGACAAGTATTGCGTTATCATGCAATAACTTGACTCATCTCAAACTAAGCACTTTTCAACCGATCATCTCATCCCTCTCATCTCTCGATCTTTCAATGAACCCAATTGTCTGTAACTGTGATCTTAAGTGGCTCCCCAGTTTGCTCAATGGACAATTTATGCTCATCAATGCAGATTACACCATCTGTTCCGAAGGATCTTTAGATCCGGCTCGCGCGAGACCTCTTCTTCAGTTTGATCCCGATGAACTCTGTGAGCGCAGTATTGTCCTCTTCTACTCGCTTCCACTCGCTTCCATGTGCTTGATTGAAATATATTCAATTCAAATTTTATTGGTCCAAAAGGAAATTCGTTTCGTTTACATGCATTGTTCACATAGAAGAATAAATAAAATGTACATGTAACATGATACATACAACATACAACGAGTATATAGAGAAGAATGAACATATAGCACTTTAACATTCACATTATATAGATATTTTCTTTGAATTTACATTATATTCAATATTTGTTTATGTATCCAGAGTAATTACCAAAACAATATAACATTGTAACTGTTATTACTATTATCATTATCAATATTACTAATACTATTATTATTATTATTATTGTTTGAATTGTTATTATAATCATTAGTTTGACTCATTATATCATTATGATAACAAAATATAACAAGGCACACATAAAACACAGACAGTTTAACAATAAAACAGATTTATCATAATGTCTATATGGTGGAAACAAATAAAAATAACCATGTATATATCCTGATATTCTGATAGATCCACAACAATTATTGTCCCAGGCCTATAAATGAAACCTAAAGTATGAGTGCACTCAGTGCAGTATGTATGAGATATGAATACCTATTGGAGGCAGTATGAGATAATTATTAGTAAACATGCAATATATTACGACATGTGAGTATAAATAGAAATAGAAACTTTTTCATTTAATTTGAGAAAAGATGGCTATTGTAAGTAGTTAAATATACTTGTCCTAGAATAAATACAAATGGAATTTTGATCATTTCCTACAATCAAATAAAACAAAATAAAATACGGGTGATACATTTTTACATTTTATATTTCATTCAGCAGACGGATAGAATACGGGACATAAGAGTTCAGGTACCTCGAAGTGCGGGATTTCTTTGATTGCCACCTTTTACCATTTCTTAACCTGACATAATTTCCATTCAGGGGGTGACTTGAATCCCTTGACAACTTCACAGCCGTTTCCACTGCTCTGTTTCTGCAAACATCATCAAGATCCATTGGTCTATCTATTATTTTGGCTGCTTGTTTGACAATGGTTTTGAGTTTTCCTTGGTCTTTCTTTCTAGCACTGTTGTACCATACTACAGAATCATAGGTCATTATACTTTCAACTACGGACCGATAAAAAAGTGACAGTATGGTCCTATCAACATGGTATGAACGCAGCTTTCGCAGAAAGTGCATTCGCTGGCTCCCTTTTGTTGCGAGGGCTTTTGTATGCCCATTCCAGACCAGTTCATTATCAATGTTTATACCCAAATATTTGTATGAAGTAACAATTTCAATATCTTGCCCTTTAATGCTTACAGGGTGGTCACTTGGTTTGCTTTCTACTTTGATTCTAAAATCAAACAGGATCTCTTTGGTTTTCTGCACATTCAGTTCTAGATAGTTTTCCACACACCATGAGTTGAAGTTATCTACACAATCTCTGTAATCCTTTTCATTATATTTAATCAGCCCTAATATGGCAGTATCGTCTGCATACTTGAAAGTATGAACATTGTTAAAATGGGATAGACAGTCATTAGTATATAGAATGAAAATAATCGGGGAAAGTACACAGCCCTGGGGTGATCCAGTGTTGGTGTGCAGTGGTTCGGACAAAATGTTGTTTACTCTCACTCTCTGGCTTCTCGTGAGGAGAAAGTCCGTTATCCACAAAATAAGAGACGGTTTCACTTTCAGATGCAACAGCTTCTCTATAAGACGGTGCGGTTGTATCGTGTTGAAGGCTGATGAAAAGTCAACGAACAATGCCCTTGCGTAACGTCTCGGTGTGTCCAAATGTTCTTGTAGCGTGTGCACAAAAGAAAGAACGGCATCATTCGCACATCTCTGCGGTTGATATGCAAATTGAAGGGGGTCAATACTAGAGCGAATCGGTCCAATGAGATTTCTCAAGACAATTCTCTCAAGGCATTTCATGACAATCGACGTTAACGCTATTGGTCGAAAGTCGTTGTCTTCTGTAGGGCGGGGTTTCTTGGCTACTGGAGTGATGACGGATGATTTCCAGCATGCCGGGATTTTGCATCGGTCAACGGACATCTGGAAAAGCGCCGTATACGGGGTAGCCAGTTGGCTGGCGCACGTTTTCATCACTCGACCTCTAATGCCATCTGGGCCGTTAGCCTTCTGGGGGTTCCCAGCTTTGAACTGCCTTCGTACCTCTTGCTCGTCGATCGAGATCGGCTGGTCATTCATTGATCGGAGCAATACTTCCTGCTCCTTGATAGTATCATGAAAGTCGTGTTTGTCAAATCGGCAATAGAAAACATTTAATTGATCAGCTTTTTGTTTTGGATCATCAATGTTTACAAATGCATTTTCTTTTCTTTTATAATCAGTCATGGTTTCTAAACATTTCCATGCTCCTTTTGAGTTATCGTACTCGTACACCACTATCGCTGGAAGGTGAAGAATAAGATCTTTCTGCTGAAACTTGCGGCTCTCGGGTACAGGGAGGTGCGAGACGCCCGAGATCACATTGACTTTGAGTTCGACTTGAATTTCATCTTCTACGACGATGACGAAGAATGGATTCGGGAGCATCTTCGAGCAGCTCTTGCAGATCAGCTGCCGCAGTTTCACAGGAACGTCTTTGGCGATGGAGACCTCGTTGTAGGAATGCATTACTTGGACTCCGTTGACTACGTTGTGAGCCACAGTTACAAGACCATCATTCTGCTCAGCAGAGCCGCTGTGCATGATCGCTGGTTCATGCTCAAGCTCCGCACCGCGCCATGTAAGTGATACCCAGACCGAATTTGTAGTCGTGATCTTTCTCGAAGACATCCCAGACGAGGAGATACCTTTCTTAGCCAGGTTGTACCTCAGTGATGGTAGACCGTATCTCTACTGGACTGATGACGTAAGAGGACACGGGTATTTTTGGCATGAACTGACCAAATATCTGACCATAAATCTAAGAACGAATGATTGGATTCCAAACGAATAGAAAATGACATTAATAGATTAACGACTGATCAAAATCCATTGGTTCTCGTATAGCGCTCATGTCTATCGGACTTGACACTCCTGGCGCTCCACATTATTACCTCACTAGATGTGTCGTGATCTAAAGGATACGTCACCGGACTGTGGATCACATGGTTCGCGGTTCGAGTCCCGCCCCGACACTTAAGTCACTTGGCTTCTCGACATCGAACAAGAAGTTTGCTTCCTCCTCTCATTTTCAACCACTCAAGACTTCAGCCAGCAAATTGTGTTCGGAACCTTGGGGTTGTGATAGATAATCAATTAGCAATGTCAATGCACATAAGCAAAATATGCCGTAATGCTGCTTATGGACTATATAAGATAGGAAAAATAAGGCCTTACCTTGATCAGGATACAACAGAAAGACTTGTCCACGCTTTTGTAATTAGCCATATTGATAGCTGTAATGGTTTATTGTACGGTCTGCCTGATACACTGATTTGTAGACTGCAGCGTATACAAAATTCCGCTGCCATGCTCATTACTAGAACACATTCACGAGAATCAGTTTCCCTCATACTTCGTAATTTACATTGGCTTCCAGTTAAAAATAGATTAATATTTAAACTTCTTGTAATAGCATTCAAATGTCAGCATACATTGGCTCCTCTCTACTTACAACAGCTTCTCAATGAGTATCACCCAATTAGGCAGCTTCGTTCTAGTTCAAGACAGTTGTTTGTCCCCCTTACGGTATCTACAATATCATATGGGCATAGAGCATTTCAATATGCAGTCCCTCAACTATGGAACAAACTTCCTATTAATATCAAAGAATGTTCTTCTCTTGATATATTCAAGCCTCTGTTAAAGTCTTACCTTTTTCAAATGTAATTGTGTACCATTCTTTATACAATACAATGTATTATACATGTACATGTAGTTTCAGTTTGGATATTCATCATGCTATTATGTTCTTATCATTTCATTTCTTCTGTACTCACTTCTTGATTTGTTTTCTATTTCCACAGCGCTTAGAGACTTAATTGTAATTTGCGCTATATAAAAACTGAGTATTATTATTATTATTATTAGTGAGACATCTATCTAAATGTATCATATTCTACCCATGTGTAGTAAATGGGTACTTCGTAGGAATTACTTATAGATTGAAAATATTGTGCGCCTCAGGGCAGCTGGGCTTCAGCCAATGTAATGATACTTTTTGGTGGGCACCTTGAACAAGTTGGGCACTCCTGGGAATGATATGTGCACAAAACAAATGTATATATTTGTATTACTATCGTTATTTAGCTTAGATCACCCCCCTGAAACCTACCCCCAAAGGACAATTACCCCCTGGAATATTACCCCCTGGAATATTACCCCCCCGAGAATCACTCCCCCCCCCCCGAGAACAACTACCCCCAGGAAAATTACCCCCGAGGACAGTTACCCCCCCCCCCCCGAGGACAATTACCCCCCGAGAACAACTACCCCCCAGGACAATTACCCCTGAGGACAATTACCCCCCGAGGACAACTACCCCCGAGGACAATTACCCCCCCCCCCCGTTGACCACTACCCCCCGATGACAATTACCCCAGAGGACAATTACCCTCCGAGGACAACTACCCCCGGATGATAATTCCCCCCCCCCGAGGACAACCCCCCCCCCCCCGATGACAATTACCCCCAAAGGACAACTACCCCCGTGGACAATCAGGATTCCATAGCAAAAGACGATCTGACACATTCAGAGATGGCTACGAGCCCATAAGATCCCCTGCATGATCCAAAATCAACGTTATCCAAATCATTCTTTTGCGGCACCCCGGTTGAAAAACGCTGTGCTGGAGTTACAAAATCAAATGAGATGAATTACCAGAGAGCATGACAACAGAGATAACGTGAAGAAAACCTTAATTTTGGATCATGGATGAGGGCCCTCATCCATGATAAAGACAAAGACACAATCAGCTGATTAAAAAAGTTACAGAGGATGCATAAAGGAAATCTTACATCCTAATTTCTTTGTTGTGCCATTGTTGGTGAGAAAGGCTGTAACGCGTACTCATCTGCGCGCAGTGAATTGTTAAATTTCTGTTTTTTACTCGGTAGCAAAACTACGGGGGAATTGGGCAAACCGCCACCCCCCCCCCCCTCATATCAAATCGAATAATTTGCAAAGACTGAAATGAACTTCATAAATAACAAAGAAAATGAAGGTTCATGAAATTTTCTGTAAATGGCAATTTGAAGAGAAGCTTGCATAATACGTCACAGTGATTGTCATTGGGGGGGTAGTTGTCCTCCGTAGGTTATTGTTCTGGGGGGAGCTGTCCTCGGAGTAGGAGGGGTAGTTGTCTTGGGGGAATAGTTGTCCTCGAGGGTAGTTGTCCTTGGGGGATAATTGTCCTCGGGGGAAGTTGTCCTCGGGGGGTTATTTTCCTCGGGGGGGGGGGGGGGTAGTTGTCCTCGGGGGGGGGGGGGGTAGTTGTCCTCGGGGGTAGTTGTCCTTAGGGGGGGGGGGGTAATTGTCCTCGGGGGTAGTTGCCCTCGGGGGGTAATTGCCCTCGGGGGGGGGGGTAGTTGTCCTCGGGGGGTAATTGTCCTCGGGGTAGTTGTCCTCGGGGGTAATTGCCCTCGGGGGGTAGTTGTCCTCGGGGGGTTATTCTCCGGGGGGTAATTTTCCGGGGGGTCATTGTCCTCGGGGGGTAATTCTCCGGGGGGTCATTTTCCGGGGGGTAACCGTCCTATGGGGGTATTTTTTTCGGGGGGCAATTTTCCGGGGGATGATTACCCAGGGGGTAATTGTCCTGATACGTATGATGACAGTTATCTGTATTCTGTTTTTATTTTTTCATCCGTTCTGTCGAATCATTGACATGTACCATGTGTAAGCCCTGATACTGTCAGGTTGCAATTTTTAGTCAATCGCAGTGAAGAATACTAAACTGTTGAACAATTAATCTGTAATATCATTAATTTTCATTAGTGTTCTAATTAGTATGAGACGTTTATAATCTGCATGTTCGAAAATATTTCACATCAAAATAAGTTCACAAATGACATGATACGTATGGATCGCTGAAGAATTTATATGTTAAGTGTTCCTGAAAAGATATGGCTTAAGTTATGTTTCTATGTATATTCTTATCTTTACAACTGCAGTGATAGACTTCTTGTGTTCTAATAAGCCATTCATTTTGTAAAACAGCTTTAGATCTGGTTGATTTTCAGCTCTGTACAAATATTTTGTGTTAATGATACTAATTGACCTAAAATTAAAGTTCCTAAATAGACTGAACATTATAACTAATCAGACTACTTGTGAAGATTAGGATGAAAACAAAAAACAGAGTTAGAATATCTTGGTAATTCTAAATCAAGGCCGTTCAGGTATCGTTTTCAATCATTCACGCATTTCTACAATATCAATTGGTTTACAATTCTGTACAGTAAAATTACTTATGACGTTAAATCTGCTAAAGTGGCCCAACAGTAGGCAAGTAGAGAAGACGATGACAGCCAAGTTAGGATACGTTGCATAAGATGCAGTTCATCTGTAATAACATAAAACAAACAATCATATTAAAGCATGGGTAAAAATCTACATTCATGAATTTCCAAGAATAAACAAAACATCTATTGTATTGCACAATTAGCTTGCCACAATTACCTTAATTTACATGCATATTGTATCTGCTATACATCACTGTGTAAAGAAACCTTCTTCAATAAAGTTTATGAGTGAAGCTCACCTGTGCAAACACAAAACTGTATCACTGCCTCATTTGTCAATATAAACTTCACCTTCGAAATTCTTTATAACAAATGAAAACACTTCATACTCTTGTTTTATGTAAATTATCACTCATTATACACTAATCTACCTTGTCGATAATCCAAACAGATTATGCACAAACTGTGCATTCACACACGTACGTTATCCCACGTCTGTGTATACGTGGTGCTACATGCACAGATGACACCTCATACTTTCCATCTTAACATTACAGAAACTGCTAGATTTATTTATCGTGCCGTCTTTGGCCTCATACCGTCCTTGTTTTCACGAAGTGACGGTAGTGAGGAAAATCGTAACGCAAAGTGAATGCAATTTTTTTTCACTACCGTCACTTCGTGAAAACAGCGACGATACAATCAACTAAAGAGTGATTTATATGAACAATAGCATTAGAATACTTACAACTTCGGGCTTGTCTCGATTGTCGGGAAATTTTCCCCTAATTTATTCGAGGAAAATTAACTCCGCCCACAAGGCTACACCGTTCGATGTACGCTGATTGGACGAGTGACCGGACAATCCCTTTATAATAAAATGTAATTTTTCCGCCGCGCTCACGAAGATACTATTCTCAATGTAAGGATACCATAATAGTTATTTGAAAAGAGTGTTTATTACTTATTGCATATTACATGTTTATATGATTACATAATCCTTTGTGTGTTGAAAAAATATAATTTTTGAAAAATTATTTTAGTTATTTTACGCCATGGCCGTAATAATCACTCTAACAAATACGTACAATATTGTTAATAGTTTTATTATCATCGTCATCATTGTTATTGTTATACTTATTATTACTACCACTACTACTGTCGGCATTATCATTGTAGAAGTAGTATTAGTAGGGCATATTAGTATAGCAATCTGCCACAAGGTCCATTTCATACATTTTAAACAATACATAGTTAATAAATACTGCCAACAATTTACATGCAAAGTAGGAACATCGTACGTTTTAACACATCACTATTGAAATATTTACATAATGGTGAAGAGAAAA